ACATAGAAAATGCTCATACAAAGGAAAACTGTTTTCTATAGAAGACAAAAGGTAATGATGATAAGGTGCCAGTATTCAATGTTATTGTAGGATTATAAACTTTGCTTCTTTTTTTTCTCCCGTTATTATTTCTGCTTCTATTTTATATTTAACTAATTTTGTTATTTTTAATCTTGTGCTATTACATAGACCGTCTGATATACTTAAATTCCTTATTAACATTACTATATCATTTATTTTTAATTTTAATTCGTGTGGTGGAAGAGCTTCTCTGATATTATTTACAAATTCTATTGGAAAACTAATATTCGTGTTATCATCTTTTTGATCAACTCCATTGTGAGTCGCGTATTATGCTGTTGTGAACTCATTCTTAGCCTGCATTGATAAATACACGAGTAATTACGTTATTTTGTCTACCTAATCTGCACGCAGGGGGGCGTCAGCCGCACTGGTATATATATATTTATATTACGCACCAACTTTTTTCAGGTACAGCTCATAATTTTTAGATTTAAAAAAATGTTTTAGTTAGACACAATCGGTTTTTTGACGAAATGGTTAAAAACGATAATCTACCGGCAAACTATTTTCCTAATACTAACCTCAGGGTTTAAGAAAGACAAACTGTAAAAGAAAATACATCAATGGCCAGAATAACTACAGTATGTTGTAACGATCATGAACGAAATTTTTTTTTTTAAGTTAAAAAATCAAGAACATAAAGCAACATGGTTCGAATTTAAGAACACATGTAAATATTAACTATCAAACCTTTAAATATAGACATACGCTGTCAGTGTAATCGATCATAATTTTTAAACTGATGAAATTTTAAAAGAACCAGTAGACGGTGGGTGCTTGAGTACCCAAGAAAGAAGTTATACTTCTATAAAATTATATGGCAAATAATATAATTATAAACATAAGTATACCTCGTATGAAATAATATTATGTACAAGGTGATGCAATTATCGTTGAAATGAGTATACCTACGTTAGTTGGGTGTGGTATCAATAAATATTTTAATTTATAATAACAGAACAATTAAAAACAATATTTTATGGCACTATGCAATGTAAAAAATATGGCGACTGGCCTGTACAAGGCTGTGCTCCATCATCGAATTTTTTGAGGGTTTCAAAACAACTTCCTAAGAAAATAAGAAATACCCTAATGAAATAGCAGATCGTTTAACTGTACCTTTTTTTCACATATTTAATTTAAAAAATTTGCAATTTAACATGTGACCTTATGGAAAAATTACTTTAAATAGCATTTATAAGATCTATATAAAGCTCTCATGTTTTGTTTGTGTGAATTTTTACTACTTGATAAACGCGTTCCATTGTCAAATATTTCTGTAATTTTTTTTTTTTTTTTTTGTTATGACACAAAAAAAGAGGTCAAGTCTGCGCAAAAGCGTGAAAGTACGTTTATCCTTATGAGAAAAATAATTTCCAGCGCTTCAGCATATATTTCAACTCCTCCCACCTCTATATTTTGTTTTTAATCATAAAGAAAAAATTGTGAAAGAAAACAACGCAGTAAAAATCAATTGTTGTATTTATACAATGCGGAAATATATTTTTTTTCATTCATGAAAGTTCCGAAAAAATGTGAAAAAATTGTATAAACAATAATTGATTTATTTTGAAAGTAACAAATTAATGATAAATAAATGAATATTCTAAATTTTTGACAAAAACATGTACAAAAAACATATGTTTTACTAAATAAGTTATTTATTTAATGTGAAATAAAACCCAACAATAAATACACAATAAATAAAAATTAACACTGAAAATAAGTTACGAACTGTAAGATGAAAAAAAGTAATTGGTTTTTCATTGTCGGGCCCGCTCATAGCAGAGTGGGTGAGGGGCTCACCCAGTTATAAAGAGGACGGGGGTTCAAATCTCTTTGGAAACTGTTTTCTTTTTTAGAAATTGGTTATAAGAAAAAAATAAGTACAATTCAAAATGTGTGGTGTGGTGCCATGCTGTTGGGTAGTGTGGTGTGATGATGTTGGATGTTGGGTGGTGTAGGGAGACCGGAGATACGTCAAGAGGGGCGGAGCGAAGGGGAAGAATCAAGGATCAAGTGGAGAATCCACTTCTATTACACTTTTTCTCAAGGTCACCAATCTGAAATCGTTAATTTACTCTGTAAGGCAGAACGCGTCTCTAGAAGTTTAACTTTAAAAAGAAACTAGCAGAATTATGTTTTCTTTACAATTACGAACAATTAAAAACAATATATTAATTATAATTCATTTTGATGAATTTTAGTAGCGAGAATAAATATAGAAAGACGTGAGAAGTTAAAGTACTTTGACTACCAAGGTTTAAGAATAAATGAGTAATTTAAAAAGAGATTGGAAAGACAAAAAAATAACTCATCATCCAAGACCGGAGGAAAGCTTTAAACTGAAAGGATCGAGCACAATCAACACCTATGTGTGTGAAAAGTTGCGAGGGTTGCGACCGAAGTGCAGAGAGGGCACTCATCGTTTGAGATAGAGTTTGCGCATCACAGCGAGCACATACGTTGCACGCACGAACTACTTCTTGAACAAAATTTCTCGCACGCAAGATCCAAAATTAATGGTTCAGCGTACTGTGCATTAGTAAAGAACCTCTATAAAAGGTCTGACAGCGGGTATCTCGGACGAGCAGGCGAAAAACATCATGTTTTGCGGGTTGCTACGGGAAGCAGGATGGAATGTTTCTTGGTTTTTGTCAGGAAGGCCCTATGAAGACAACTTTCTAGTTTAGTTAAACTTTTTGTGTCAAGGAAGGAGTTCAGTCTTTTTTGGCAACTTGATAATTTCACCTCGTTTAATCCTCTTGAGAGGATGGAGAATAAAGCTTGTCGTAGTGGATAAGTCTTTGAACTAAATGCCTTCAACATACTTGGCCCGCATCGATTTGGCAAAAAGCCAAGTTGACCAGTGCTCTGACTATTTAAGGACGTTTGTTTTGAACCGAAGCACAGAGAAAAGGATACGGATGAGCCTCTGGATCGAAGAAAATCTATAAAGCCACTTGTCCCAGTCTGTTGGCCCTCAGCATTGATTACAACAAATGTTACAGTGCTTTTTTTTTAATTCCGTGGGAGGATTGAGAGTAATGGCTGGCCAGGTGTCTGATAACCTAGCAATCCAGCGAGAATCATGTTTCAAGAAGGCCATCAAAGATTTTCGTCAAGACACTTCTTGAGGCACCATAAGCCGAATTATTCTTAGATGCAACGTGACACCAGGTCGCCTGAGGCCACAATGTATAAATGTTGAACTACGCAACTCCATACCTATCTACTATATCTATATCTAGTATGCTCAGAGTCTTGATGGGTGCAATTTACGACCATTACAAGGTTCGACTGGAAGGAGAACTCTTTGCGCAAAACAGTATGAAGCTGCAGCTGCTAAAGCTAATTTAGAAGCGTTGCAAAATTTCTGTAACCCCTACTAAGATAAAGAGTAAACTTGGAGATATCGTGAGATCCGTAGCTGACTGAGTCTTGAAAGTTCTGACTTGAACTTTTGCCAGAGCAGGGTGACGTACAGTGATAGTGGCTAGTCCCAGTCTATACCGCTGATCCATAGGCTTTGCAGTATAATATTCACTCTGATAACAAACGAGGCTAGAAACTCGAGGGGATTATAGAACATAGTCATACTTGATAGCTCCTGACGCTAGTTGACGGGCTTCTCGTCATTCTCAGCTGTGACTTTAAACATTACGGTGTCTAACGCAGGGGTACAGAGCATGCCTACAGCTGATGCACTTTCATTTGCTGAGGGTGATGAAAGGGTACTAACTAGGACTGAGCAAACTGGATTCAGGCAGGTGAGACAGTGATACAACGGGATGCGCGAGACAGCTAATGGCAGCTTTGTAATTTTTGTCATCAAAACATTATTACAAGATAAACTTTTCCTACCACTACTCTAATTTTTAACGAAAGACCATGGCAGCGGAAGACACTATTCGTCTTCCAAACTTAAAATAAAAAAGGCAGCAGGAAGCTACCCAGTGGCAGTCTCTTGGCTCTGTTTTCTTGCAAAATCAACAGCACAGTAACATAATAAAGATATAGAGGGTCCATCAGCCTTGAACAAGAAATGGCCCATGACAATATCTAAGAAAATTACAAGACACTATTAAATAATTACTATACATGTATTTTAAATAACGTGGGAACAGGATAGATTCAATACATGAAAATGAATAGTAAAAATCGTGTCAAGCTAGATTAAGTTACCCTAATAATAATACTGATATCCACAAAAAATGCTAAACATCGACAGTTATGTAAATATTTATAAAATTAATGAGATGATTTCTTGCATTACATAATTTTTTGCGTAAATAATTGCGTAGTAGTAAGAATTCACATAATAATTTATATAATATTGTTGCCCCACGCTTATTTTTCTACAGTTACGACAAAAGACTTATTAAACTTTTTATTAACATGAGGCATACTAGTGTCATCCTTGTGATACCTTGAGATAAGCAGACACATAGCGTGAAAATAAATAAGGTTTACATTGAGATACTCATAAGATATTTTCAGTGATCATATTTGCATGTTTTAAATTTTTCTTTAATTTTTGTCACGCACTTTTTGATTCATGATTAATTCATAATCATTGAAAAATTATTGTTATAAAACGAGTTAGAATTAAAAATAAATATTTTATCTTTGAAACTTAATATTGTGCTCTAATGATCACCATGTTGTATTTGCAAGGAGTGCTATTTACAACCATTTCATATAAATTTTTTATTTACATGGCTGCATTTTGCCTCAGATAAGTTCCGCTATCTGATTTTTTTTCTTTTTTTTTTTTTTTTTTGAAAAAATAACTTTCAAGAGCGTAAAATACCGACAAACACTTTAGTTTCCAAAAAAATAGTTGGCATTAATAAACAAAGTTTGATACAGTACAACATAATATTTCATATTATTTCAATGAAAAAAATAAATACCTGAATAGGTCCACATGGTGCCACTAAAGAACGTATAACTTGTATTATACAGTGCATATTTGATTTTTTTTGGTCATTCCATCCTAATAACGTGTCTTTACTACAGCTTGTAGACAATTGAAGCATTGGTGCTAACCTTTGGATGAAACTACCTGTAGATGAAAAGCATTTGTTTTATTCCAGAAAAAGTATAATTTATGTTAGCTAAATCGTAAAAGGGGAACTAAAAAAATCTATTTTTGATTACTCATTTTGGAATCACCAATAAAATCTTAAAAAACTTGTAAGTAATCAAAATACATATAATAATATAAGACGTTCAACGACAGTTGGTTGATAATTAAAATAACGTCCAATGATGGTACTGTCAAATTTTGTATTTATTAAAAAACAAAATGACGTTTCGGCCGTTTGGACAATGTCACAGCCCTCATCAGGTACAAAATTCTATGAGTAATAAAAAAATTCTTTACAATACAAATTCTGATAAATACAATAAACGCACATTAAGTAAAGAGTATAATATACCTCTGACTTTTACGAAGGGGATGTAAAAACGTAATGAAGTCAGAGTTTCAAGTTTCGTTGCTTTTATACCCAGCACATACACAAAGGCCACAGTATACGCACATAATACAATCAAATAAGAATCGCAAGCAGTTCCTTGTGAGACACATGTAAACAGATCATGATTTCCTAATATTGGAAATGAAAGGGTCCCTCAAATCATGTACATCAAGTTAGCCTCCTTTCTTAATTAACTTCACGAGAGACTTGTAACAATTTTTCAATTTTTCTGTATCTTGTTGTCTATTAATATTATTATTGAAATAATGTATATTTTAAATTTCGGAAAACAGGCGCTTTTTATAATTTTGTTCTGTGTCTAAAATTTGTATTTTATCAAAATTAAAGTTGTGTGTAAATTCAATGCTATGTTGTGATAGTACAGATGTATCCTTTTTTTTCTTTATGTCTCTTCTATGTTCTGCCATTCTTAATTTTACAGCTCGAAAAATAAATTAATAGATATTATCATTTCACCTGATTGCACTCTTATTAGTCTAGATGTTTTTAGTTTATTTACTAATTCTAGTGAAGCCTTAATCATGAATGCAATAAGACATTCTTAGAAATTCTTGAATGGTAAAATCAATGTTTTTCTCAATGAATTTTGCAAAGGTGTATCTTTAATTTTGAATTTAACTTTTTTCCATTTTAAAAATAAATTTTATAAACAAGTTTTTAGCTCTCCAATAGGAAGTCCCTGTAGTCCAGTACTGTGTGATGTTGTAATGCGTTTGCTTGAAATTTCATGCTTCGAAAAGTTATGTTTTGAAGTTCCACTGTATGTGCGGTATGTGGATGATATTCTCATATGTGTGCCTATTAAATATATTAACTTTACTAAAAACATTTTTAATAGCTATTGTCCGGAATTACAATTCACTGTTGAGACATGCAACAACAATAGCATTAGTTTCTTAGATTTAAAAATTATCATTTAACAAAATAATACAGTACTAACTAATTGGTACCAAAAATCCACACATTCAGGCCAATACTTGAATTTTCTCTCCCACCATCCAATACAACATAAAATAGGTATCATTTACACATTAGTAGACTTTTCCATTAAATTAGCAGACACTCAGTTTCATAACGATAATTTAAAATTAATCAATAAATTTTTACTAGCTAACAACTATCCTCAAAAATTTATTGATAAATTTTTAAACAGAAGAATAAATACCTTAAAAAAACATGAACATGATTGACAATTGCAATAGAAACAATAATAGTTATGAACTAATCTTATCATTACCGTATATTCCCCACTTGCACGGTCCTTTTAAATATTTTTGTAAGAAGCTTTACATTGGTCTTGTATAGAGTTTAAGCAATAAATTGAATTCGATCTTTTCACTTCGAAAAGGTTACCGAGCTACTCGATAGAAGTAATGTCGTTTACCACATACCATGTGCGAATTACAACTGCTATTATGTCGATCAAACATCGAGAGCTGTAAAATTAAGTATGGCAGAACATAAAAGAGACTGAAAGAAAAAAAAGGATATATCTGTACTATTACAACATAGCATTAAATTTACACACAACTTTAACTTTGGTAATTTTAGACACAGAACAAAATTGCAAAAAGTTGTAAAACATATTGCGTTGTTTTTAAGTTTGATTAACAAGACTAAAATTATGTGGTTGATCCTAAAAATTTAAGTTTATCATTTTGACTATGAAAATAATAAACATATTTATGAAGTATTTTTTTTTAAATAAATTATTCACGA